AAAAAGTGCACAGAACCAGAGTCCTATGGGACACCATTAAATAGAAAAACATAGATGGTGGGAATCCCAAAAGAACAGAGAGTAAGAAAGGAGTCAAAAGAATATTTGAAGAAACAATGACCAAAACCCTTCTCAGTTTGATGAAAGATATGAATCTACAACTATAAGAAGTTGGATAAACTCAAGATAGAACACATTCAAGGACATACCAAAGAATCTTGAAAGCAGCAAGAGAGGTGACTTTTCTCATACAAGGAATCCACAGAAGATGAGCAGATTCCTCATCAGACTTTGAAGGTCAGAAAGCAGAGGGTTGATTTATTCAAATTGATGAAAGAAGGTGCCAGAATGCTATATCCAGCAAAATTGCTCTTCAAAAGTGAGGGAGTTTGTTACCAACAGAACTGCTTTACAAACAATGCTAAAGGAGGTCCTTCCATTTGAGATGAAAGGATACAGTAACTCAAAGCTGTAAGCAGAAATCAGAATCTCCAGTAAAAGTAAATACATGGGCAGTTATAAAAGCTATTATTATTATAATTTCGGTTTGTTAGGTCCACTTATTTTCTACAGGATTTAAAAGGCACATGCATTACAAAGCCTAACTATATACAGATGTAATTTGTGACATCAGTAACAGAAGGGGGAGACGGAGCCATTCAGGATCAGGGAGTTTTATGTGCTATTTAAGTTGGCACAAATTAGGTTGTTGTAACATTAGGATGTTAAGTGTCATCCCTGTGGTAACCACAAAGAAAATATCTATAGAATAGACACAAAAGGAAATGAGAAGAGAATCAAAATGTCACTATAAAAAATCAAATGCAAAAGGCAGCAGTGGAGGAAGTGTTGGACAAAAAAAAACTATAAGGCACATAAAAAACAATAAAATGGAAGAAACAAGTTCTTTCTTAGGAGTAACTAAATGCAAATGTATTCAACTCTCTAATCAAAAGGCAGAGATTGAAGATGGCCAAGTAGGAAGCTCCAGGCCTGGAAGCCCCATGGAAACACTGAAAATAAATACATAAAAGGACCTACAGACTGACTAAAATAACTATGGGACCTCTGGAAATCATTCCAAAATCTACAGCAACCAGGCGAACGCCCAATCGAGAAAAAGCCATGGTCAAAATGGTAGGGGATTTTGTGGCAGTTTTACTTGCCTTTGCCTCAACCCTTCCTGGCACGACAAATGTGTGGTTGGGAGGAAGCAGCCTCCTCCTGGCTTCCTCCCTTGTGCTGGAAGGAGGAGAGCAGAACTCATTGGCAATGTTCTGACCTGTCTGTGGACTGCCCAGGGGACTGGGGTTTCTGTTGTGCCTGACTTGGAGCTCAGACAGGGAAAGATGACCCATGGAGGGCTGGGGCATGCTCTCATGGGCAGAAGAATACAGTAACATCTAAGGTTCTGAGAAGAAGCTGGGGGGAGACTCTGGAAAACTAAGACTTTTGAAAAGCAGCCAGGTATACAGGCTGGGGATTGGGGGAAGTACAGGCCCAGGCGTAACACATGCCCATAAAAGACCCAAGACTTAAGCCATTACCCTGGGTTGATCACAAGTCTTAGAACACACCCTGCAATTTAGTGAAGGTCTCCTGCCATTGTGCAAAGACTGGGCAGACAGGGCTGTTTTTTCAAATGACTACTTTTCAACAAAGATCTCAAGGCATACAAAGAGACAGGAAAACAGGGCACAAAGAAACAAAATTTTTATCTCCAGAAACCACAGAAACCATCCCTGAAGAAACATAGGCATCCGACTTACTAGAAAAGACTTCAACCAAGTAACTGTTAAATATGCTCGAAGAGCTAAAGGAAATCAAGAAACTGATATATGAACAAAATGAGAATATCAAAAAGTTATGTATGTTATTAAGGGGCTCCTGAGTGGCTCAGTTGGTTGAGCATCTGATGCTCAGATCATGATCCCAGAATTGTGGGTTTGAGCCCTGCATCAGGCTCTGTGCAGGGCATGGAACCGGCTAAGGATTCTCTCTCTCTCAAATAAAATATAAAATTAAAATTAAAACTAATAAAATCTTTTAAAAAATTCTGGAGCTGAAAAAATGCAATAAAGGGATTCAACAACAGACCTGAATAGTGAAAAGAATCTGTGAACCCAAAGACAGGTCATCTGAAATCACTGAAACAGAGGAGAAAAAGGAAAACAAAGTGAAGCAGGCCTAAGGGACTTCTGGGACACCACCACACAGACAAACATATGCACTCTTGGACTCCCAAAAAGAGAAAGAGAGAGAAAGGGGCAGAGAACTTATCTGAAGAAGTAATGGACAAAAATTTCTCAAATTTGAGTAAAGAAATGAATATACAACTTTAAGAAACTCAACAGACTTCGACAGATAAATCCTGAGACACACACAGCAAACACTGAAAAAGACAGAAGGGCAAAATGGAAATTTTACATTACAGTAATCGGACTCTAGAACAACCAGGTAGGTCAGTAAGGAAAGAGAGGGCTTGAACAACACAACAGACCAAATGGACGTAACCAACATATATACAACATCCAACAACAGCAAAATATGCATTTCCCTCAAGTGCACGTGGAACATTCTCCATAATAAATGACATTCTGTGAGGCCACGAACCAAGTTTCAAAAAATTTAAAAAGACAAAGCATATAAAATATTTGCTCTTCCCACAATGTACTGAAGCTAGAAACCAATAACGGAAGGAAAATTCATAAATATGTGAAAGCCAAGCAATAAATACATCGCAAGGGAAATTAGAACCCATCTTGAGACAAATGACTGAAAACACAGCATACCCGAACTGAAAACAGTGCTAAGAAGGAAACTTAGAGCCATAAATGCTTACATTAAAAAAGAAGAAGGGCCTTAAATCAACAACTTACTTTATCCCTTATGGAACTTGGAAAAGGAGGAAGGTTAAGCTCAAAGCCAGCAGTAGGAAGGAAACAACATTACAGCAGAGATAAAATAGAGAACAGAAAACAATAGAGAAAGCCAATACAAAGCCAAGAGGTGGTTCTTCCAAAAAAACAAAAACAAAAAAACAACACAATGGCAAACCTTTAGCTAGATACCTGCAGCGGGAGAAGAGGACAAGGACTCAATGACACAAGAGGGCATCTTACTGCAAATTTACAGAAATAAGGGTTATAACAGAGCTCTGTGAATAACTATATGCCAACAAAATGGTTAACCTAGAAGAAATGGACAAATTTCTAGAAACACACAACCTACGGAGACTAAATCCTGAAGACATATAAAGTCTGGATAGACCTATAACTAGTAAGGAGATTGAATCAGTAATCAAATACCTCCCGACAAAGAAAAGCCCAGGACCCAAAGGCCTCATCAGCGAATTCTACCGGACATTTAAGGAATCAACACCAATCTTCCTCATACTCTTCCAAAAGAAGGAGGGAATTCTTCCTGACTCATTCTAGAAGGCCGGCATCACCCTGATACCAAAGCTAGATGAAGACACTACAAGAAAACTATTGGTCAGTATCCCTCATGAATATGGATGCAAAAAATCCCCAACAAAACATGAGCAAGTCGAATCCAACAACAGAATAAAAGTTTTATACACATCATGACAAAAGAGGATTCCTAGGATGCAAGAATCACTCAGTATACACAAATCAATTGATTTAATAGTCCGTATTAACAGAACGGAAGAGAAAGTAAATACTCTCAACTGACACAGCAAAACCATTTGACAAAATTCAATACCTTTTCATGTTAAAAACACTCAACAAACTAGCAATACTAGGAAAATACCTCAACACGATGAAAACCATATATGAAAAGTCCCACAGCTAACCTCATACCCAAAGGTGAAAGACTGACAGTTTTTCCTCTAAGGTCAGGACAAGACCAGATGTCTACCCACATTGCCTCTATTCAAGATAGTACTGGAAGTGCTGGCCAGAACAATTAGGCAAGAAAAAGAAAGAAAAGGCATCCAAATTAGAATGGAAGAAATAAAACTGTTTGCAAACAATGCAATCTTATATGTAGACAACATTAAGATTACACACACATCATTAAATTAGCAAAGTTGAAGCCTAGAAAGCCAACACACCAAAATCAGTTGTGTTTCTAGACATTAACAATGAAGAATCTGGAAAGAAAATTAACAATTCCATTTAAAATAGCATCAAAAAGAATGCAATACTTAGGAATAAACTTAACCAAGGAGGCTAAAGACTTACGCACCGAGAACTGCGGAACACTGCTGAGAGAAATCCAGACCGCACAGATGTTACTCTGTGATGCCTTTTCTGGGTATCATGGCTGGGTCAAGTCAACAAAGAAAATTATCCCACCAAGTGTCCATCAAATCAACAGAAAAACACAATGTGGTACATTCCTACAGGGGCATGCCATTCAGCCATAAAAAGGAGTGAAATTTTGATAGATGCTTCAACATGGGTAGACCTTGAAAATGTTACACTAAGTGAAATAAGACACGGAAAGACCAGTATTTTATGATTCTACTTACATGAAGTACCTAGAATAGGCAGGTTCACAGAGACCAAGTAGGACAGGTGTCGGGGGAAGGAGGAGCAGCAGTTACTGGTTAGTGGGTCTAGGTTCTAGTTTGGGAGGATGAAAAAGTTTGGGTACATTGGCAGTGATACAATATTGTGAATGTTTCAGTGCCACCGAGGTAGACCTTAACCAGTGGATACACTGACAGATGCTACGTGTATCTTACCACAATAAAAATATCTAAAAAAGAAAAAAATGCAAACCAACAAACATGACCAGCATGTGAGGAACCAGTCAACAGCTTCAAAAATTTCTCGATCCCACAAGTTTCTGCTTTTGGTAGAGCACTTTCAACTGCCTGCCGTGTTTTTTCAGTTCCTTCTACAATTCTGAAGTCTGTCCTTTTTCCCTAGAAGGTCCTTGTCAGTATTTCAAGCCATTGACTTTCTTTTCTGCGGGACTGGAGAGAAAAAAAAGGAATCTCATCTCCACACCAAAGTATCAGACGCCAAAAAAATGTAAAGTCGTGAGTTTATTGCATATGTAACAAAATGAACCTGACCTCCTGGGTCCAACCTGCTGTACAATCACTGTTTGTTTTGTGTTTCCAGCTGGTTCCATAACCACATTAAATAGAACTAGTATTTCTTTAAATACTTTTGATTTTGACATAAAACGGAACATTAGTGTACAATTTTCACAAAATAAATCAGCAATAAAAACAGTGGGAAGAATAACAAGGATAGCAGCAATACTTAAAAACAAGACATTACAAAATAAATTAAAAAATACATTATAAAGTGGTTGAGAAACAAAAATAAACAAATTTTAAAAATTCATACTATGTTTCGGGAAGGCTGCCGTGCGGCACGCGCCTGGCTGCGGACGGGGCCGGGGGGATGGGGCGGGTTCTCTGCAGAAGGCCACTCCTGACAGCTCAGGGTGGAGGACCCCCTCACCTGAATTGGGACCACGCGGCCGAGCAAGCTCGGGGAGCACGGGACTCCTGGCGGGCAGAGTCTCCCCTCAGGGAGAGCTGCCCTGACCGTGTCCCCCAAGCAGCCCCTTTGTTTCTCCCTCCTACAGCGCTGGCAGAGCGGTGGTTTGCTGCATCCCTGAGGGTCGGCTGATGACCGCTGGTGAGGGCAAGCCTGCAAGTCGGGCCCCTGAAGCATCTGGGCCAAGGGGTGGGAAGGGGACAGCGGGGGGTGTTGGGGATCACCAAGGGCCACAAACGAGAGCTCGTGGGAACAGGGTCCACGTGGACCCAAAGTGGAGTCACCGGGAGCTTTTCCCCACTGTCGGCCACACTGCTCTTTCCGTGGTTCAAAAGGCCTAATCCAAGGTTCTAGAAGTGCAATGCTACTGCCGGGCCTGTCTGGCGAGAGTAAACCAGGGCTCTGGAAAGTTCTGCTCTTTCAGGCCCCACTGTAACGCACAGCTGACGAGGACGACTGATGAGGGAGGAAAGCCCCACCTTACAGGCCGGTCCCGCGTGCTGGGCCCACGCCTGACACCCACAGGCAGCATGGGGCTGGCAGGCACGGGTTCTAAGGACTGTTCCTCCCGACAGCAGGAAGATCGTCTTACAGGAGCCACGTGCCACAGTCCCGCTAGACCCTCGTCTCCCCGCTCATTCCTGCAGCTCTGGGCCAAACCACAGGAACAGTCCGTGGTTCCCCCGCTCGGTCTGGATGTGCCCTCAGCTCTCTGTGGAGGTCTCCTCCTCACACTGGGGGTTGAGGTGCACCTTCGAGAGGAGGCCTCTGTGGGGGAAGGGCCATAGCCGACATTTCCTTACTCTCGCAGAGGAAGGTTAAGAGGGAGGACTAGAGAGTCAGGGGGAGCCAGCTTCTAGAACGCCCTCTGAAGGACGATGGTAAACGAGCGAGACTCAGGGTAAGCCTGACCGGGGCAAGGCAGAACTTCTGACAGTCCAAGCCCATGATACGGCCTGGACTTCCTGAACGGATTTAATCTCTCCTCTGCAGCAGTCACACTTGACATCCTCTCTACCCTGGCACCTCCTCCGTAAATGGCCAGACGCGCGCTCTCTCACGGCTCTTGGAACCCACAGCCGCTAGCCCACGGCCCACCGAACCAGGTGAACTTCTTGTTCCGAGGGAGGGTCTATCTCCCAGGGGTTCCCGAGCTCCCGCACGGCAGCCACAGAATGCTTCGGGGCAAGACCCACAAGGATGAGCTCGCCTCCAAACTCACCTAGCTCCGGAGGTATCCGTGACAAAAAGAGAGTCACCCGAAAGCCTTCCAGACCCACCTCAGACCCGCAGCTGGGTCCCAACGCTTAACTCCGAAACCAACGGCAAACTTCCGACAGTGAAACGTCTTCCTGATGAATTACCCCGCATTTGCCCCCCCACCCCCCCACCAAACAAAACAACAACAAAAAACCAAACAGGACGATTGGCTGCTGCCCTTCACGGAAGTTCATCGCAAATCAAACCACCTTGTTCAAATACTGTTGAACTTCTGTGCAAATTGGAAAATGGTGTTGGAAACTCAGGGTCCAGGCTTGCTTTGGCCTTGCTCGTCACGTGAGGACGTCTGGGCGAGCGAACTGAGTAGTAGCGATTGTTCGCGTCTCCACCCGACACTCGGGAAACGAGCAGAATGAGCCAGGGTGAAGGGTCCCCTCCACCGACAGGTTTGCATTCGTGCCCTACTCTTCGTAAAACCGTAACTCAGGGTGGATTTAAGTCAGTGGGGTGGCCTGTTCCCTCTCTCCCTGTGAGGCTACTTTGCACCAAGCCAGCAGCTACAACAGCAGAATTCTGTTAGTTCAGCTCTTAGCAACTTCCGCACAACACTTGGTTAGTATTCAAGTGACCCAGCCGATCCTCCTAGACATACAGGTGGTGGGGGAGCCGCAGCCCGGGACTGGCTGCACGGATCTGAGGCTGGTTTGGTGTGTTCTTTTATAAGCTCTGTTATGTGGTGTTTTCACTGGAAAAATATCTCAAGCTAGATAGATAATGTGGCAAAAGGGACTCTTAAAAGGAAGATCATTTTTCTCTATGCAAAACAAGTTTTTTCAGCCAGGATCCCCTTAAAAATACCCCAGGCCTCCAGCAAAAGCTGCCCCAGTTCCTTTGCTTTCCCAAAAGGGAAGCACATTTTGGAAGCAAGCTTCCTGCTGGGGCAGAATTCTAATGGACAATACGGTTCTTTTTCAGTTAGAGATTAATCTGCTTCCCAGAGCAGGCTGCTAGGCTGTGACTGGAATTTGAGCTGCAGAACTTGAAAAGGGACCTCAGGACTGTCTGGAGACACAAGAGCTACCGGTTACAAACCCTCAGTAAGCCAAGCTCAGTTCCAGAACTTGTGGGTCGATCCTCCTGTAAAGACCACAGGGCAGTGAGCCTGTCACCAACCATGTGGGTTACAGTCGCTGCAGGGTATCCTGTGTGACCGAAGCCAAATGCTAAACCTGGCTGCATTTTATTGGATGGGTGATGGAAGGGGGGGGGGGGGGGGGGCGGGGATCACTGTCAGAAAGGAGGAAAATATGGGTGGGAGCCGCCAACCAAAGTCCCCCCACCCCCCTCGCTCCCCCAATGAAAAGGAGGGGAGAAAACCCTTTCCCTCGGGTCATCTAGGGTTCCCGGGCCTCAGCCAGCTTTGCAGGAGGCGCACAGAAAGCTTGCTTTTGGTCTGGTGGTCATGAGCTAGAATCTGTTGCCTTTGGTTGCTCTCGTCACTCCACGGCAAACCCGCAAGTCTCCTCCACGGCCGTCAGCAGCTTCTCATAGAGCTTCTCGTACGACTCGTAAGGTGGAATGTCGATCCGATTAAAGCTGAAAGAGGACAAAAGAGCGACAGAGTCACTGCTGGGGCCATCTGGACCTAGGCCCTGGTCCAGGCGGGAGCAGAGCATTCAGGGCCTCGAGCTAGCAGCGTGTGAGTATACAGGCGGATGGGGCCAAGCATCTCATCGCCCAGCTGGGGTGGGGGGTACAGGCAAGTTTTCCACTCCCCCCTGGTGCTTTTGTTTCGAAAGCAAAGATTTTTCATGGAACACAGAACAAAATAAGTTCTAAGATCTTGAAAGCCAAAATTAAGCCGATTACTATGTCCTGGTTATATCAGGACAAAGATCCTTCCTGATGCAGTGGTGGTTGTCTTCTTTGCATGTGGACCCCCGTAATCCAGACTGGCCGACTGTCGGATCACCACTGACAATCCACTGCCTGTCTGTCTAATCCTCCGTGACTTGACCTGAGACCAAATGGGGCAGTCTGGGATGTTTCCTGCAGAAACAAACTATTATCTCAAAACTAGTAAAACGTCAAATCTCTGATAGGAGGAGATAAATCAACATTTCCCTGGAGAAATTCTAGTGTTGTATTAAAAAAAAAAAAGAAAGAAAGAAAAGGCATCCTTTAAGAAGGATATTCTCTCCTAGTAAGTCAAAACGTACAAAATTCTGACCGAGATAGTGACCTACTGAATTACTAGCAGTCAAGCAGTTAAGGATGGTTTTTGTCAAGAAAGAACTGGGCTAAACCGTGTGATAGTTTTTTTCTTAAAGTTGGGACTTCAGCATCTGAGGACAGTTCTCACATCCGTTTTATTCTAAACTTTCAACTGTGAAAGGGCAGAGTCCTAGGGAAGAAAGCAGCTGCCGTGGGTCAACACAATGCTGTGTCTGTAACGGCCACGCGGGGCTGGGCGCCACAGCCTCGGTAGGGCCTTGGCCATGTAAGCACTTGAACCCACACCCCTGGGTTCCCAATCAGGAAGCTTCTGTTGCAGTGTTACACATCTCGATGGCAAAGAACTGGCTCTCGCGAACTGGACACGCTGGTCTTTTTGATACGTGGTTTCTGAGACAAAGTGTACGTAAGTGACTTGATTTTTAAACCGCAAGGGAAAATCATCTGCTACGGGTATGAGTGATGTTAAATTTAGGAAAGTTAAGAAGTTTTCAATGTGCAAGATGCATCCATCACCAGGTTCCAAGAAGGAAAACACAGGAAGCAAAGACTGGGAACTCCGGATTGAAAATGACAACTCCCCCGCAGGGAGGTACGTGTGTGCACACGGGCGGCCCAGCAAAGGCAAGGCTGGAGCTGCCGAGTGCCAGCCGCCGTTAATCACATCTCACGACAAAACTGGTTTCACGAAAGAGACTTCTGATAACCCTCGTGTGACACACGGCCAAGCGCTCATCCCACCTGACACTGGTTCCACGGCCAGTTGTCCTGGGGCGCAGGTAAAGGAAGCACGGGGAGTCACGTGCGGGGTGGCAGGCACAGGGACAGGCTCCCCGCGATGCCACAGCGAGGTCCTTACCAGGTGTGGGCCTTCGGAAGGTTGTCTGTATTGGCATCGATCAGGTGGATGGTGAAGAGCCGGGGCCCTGCCGCGCCTGTAGAACCTTACGAGACAACATTCTAGTTAATGCACTTCAGAGGCGGGCCCCGGGCCCCACTGCCAACCACACCCTCGGCCCGATGCCCGGGCAGGTCGTCCTGCCGGACGGTCGTGGGCTTCACGCAGCGGCATAGCCTGCACCTGGGTTAGGACACGCTGACCGTCCAGCGACCTATCCCAGCCATTCTAGAAAATCGCAGGGGCAGAGACGCGTGAGAGCTCTCCTCCTGGACCCTGGCCGTGGGCCCACTCAAGTGGGGATATTTGAAGGACAAAATCCTTAAATCACCAGTGACGGTTTTTCTTTTTTTTAAACAAGATGTTTAGCAAGTGGGCCCGCCCCTGGCAGAGGACAGCAGGGTTATGACAAAAGCACGATACACAGTCATGAATCCCCCAGGCGGAGGGACGGTGGGAAAAGAAAAAGACACAAACACCTAGGACAACAGCCCAGGGGGATGGAAGTAGCTTCTGTCACTCAAAGAAGTCCTTCAAATCTGGAAAAGTCTACAGGGAATGTTCTCTACATGAAATACACCTGCTATCTCTAGGAACATGCAAAGGTCCATCTGCTACATTTTAACATACTAACATTCTTCACCTTTTTCCTTCTGGCTCTCAGGGTTATCAAAAATCTGGATATCAGGTTTTTTTATCAGCATCGGAAGGGACCAGAGAGGGGATGGGTACCTACGCCAGACAGCGGAGCCTCTCAGACAGTGCCTCTGCACAGAGGAGGAAACCGAGGCTCAGGAAGGACCCCTGGAGCTCATGACCAACACGGCAGCAGGAGACTCCATCTCCTGGCGCTCAGGCCGGGCCGCTCTCACCTCAGGGCTGCAGTGAGACGGCTGCTACCAGAAGACTCAGGAACGAATCCATGGTGCACTTTAGAACCTCTAATTTCTTTCCCCAAAGACTTGCTGCTATTTGTACCCTCCCTCTGTCCCCCAGTTCTGTAGGGGTGGGGGAGGGACCGGCTCCATGGGGTCCTTCTTCGCTCAGGTCTCGCCCAACTCAGCCCTGGGCGGGCACCAGGCCGGCCAGCACCCGCCACAGCTGCGCGCCCCAGATGACACCCCGCCTGCTGGGCACGTGGCCTGCAGGGACACCGAGAAAGGTGGGTTTGACAGGAAGCTTGGCTTTGTTTTGCTGAGATTCTCACCCCCTTTGCGTCTATAGGTATCTCCTCTCAGCTTGGGCAGAGGCTAGCACCCCGGGAGCACTGGGGGGCCGGCAGGGAGAATGGCAACAAGAGGGATGGGGGGTGGGGGTGGGGGCAGCCGCGGCCGCCAGGCGACCACCTCCATGCCCCCAGCGTTCGCTGCGAGAAAACACGGGCCGCGCCACTTCCTAGGAGACATTTCAGGAAAACAGCACCACGGCGGTCCAGCTCTTCCTGCCGTGGCCGGGCAGGGGACATGCCCGGCGGAGACGCGTGGGGCCAGGAGCCCCGCCTCCACATCAGTCACCTTGCAAAGCCTTGAAGCCTTGGAGAGGGACCCGAGTGGACCCGGTCACAAACTGCAGCAGCCTGGCCCTCCTCTCCTCGTCGAAGGTCTCCACGGCCTGCCAGAACCAGCGGACGATGTTGCTGTCGGCCACACAGTGCTTCAGCCGAGTGTTGGACTTCCAGTCGCTCACGTCGATCCTATCCAGGCCGCCTATGATCAGCTGCGAAGGCGTTTAGAGGCAAGTTATTACGCAGACGTACAGAGCGGGTCATGGCAGCCTCCCAGGTTCCCAGCGTCTGAAAGGAGGGAATTCGTGGCGTCCGAATAAACTAGCCAGAGACTCAGACAAGCGGAGAGGGAGACGGGCCCACGCCCCCAACAGCGCCTTTTCTTACAACCAGGTCTGCTCTCCTCATCCGCGAGGACTCAGTACCAAAGGGCCGACCGGCGAGGCTGAAGGGGCTGACTGTAAAACGGGGCCACCTCCCCGGGACCCCAGGGGCCGTCACAGCAGGGCTGGGAGGGGAGTGGCGTGCGAGTTTCTGCACCGGGCGGGAGGCCCACCCGGAGCTGCTGCCCGCCCACGGAGGCGCCTCGCCGCGGCAGAAAGACAAGGATTTCAAAGCCGTGAGCCACTTGGCACGGACGTGGGTAAGGGATGAATGAGTCTCTGTGTTCACACACGCGAAGTGGGACACGAGAAGACAATGACACTTTGTGCGGAGTCTAATAATAGCTAGAACAGAAACACAAAGTTGACGCGGTGGGAGAATCTGGTTATACGCGAGAGAATCTCCTCGATCCGAGGTAAATACGTGGGAGGGGTTTGGAAACCGCCACGGCTGGAGATCTTGAACATGAGGATAAGCCACAGGACACCCCGAACAATGTCCGGAGAATGATCTGGACTCGTTGCGGCCAAGCAGACACCTGTCCTTGTCACAAACAGGCTCAGACGCCCTCGACACCCCGCTCGCTCTAGGCCTGTTAGTCGGGAGCCCCGACAAACCCCCGGCCTTGCCGCGGGGACAGACAAGCCTCATTCTGCAGGCAGGTTGTAAAACAAGAAAACACCGATCTCATTTGCGCCTTTTAATGCCTCCTTGGCTCGGCCCGGTGAGCACGTACCTCCAGTTCCTTCTGGTCAAACGGCTTCAGTAAGTGTTGAGGAATGAGTTCATTAAACCCCTTCTGAAGAGCCAAGAACTGGGCTTCAATCCCCCGCATGAACCTCCAATTTACATACAACCTGAGAAACAAATTCACAAGTTGGAGGCAGCATCAAGTGGTTCATGGAAGAAAAAAAAAAGTTCTCTCCACAGAAGGTTCTGACATCTGAACCTGGCACCCTGCCTGCCGGGCCTCCCCTTGGGGCGGGAGGAGGGGGCGGAGGTGGGGGCAGATGGGACGAAACCCCCACCGGCTGACGTTGCCTAGCCTCAGTATCAGGTTAAAAATAAGTCAGCACAGGCCCTTACACGTGCTGATGCTTCGCTAAAAATAGCTGTAGGAATTAACCTGACCTGTTAGAGCAAGTGCCATAACTGAAAAGTAGACCTGAAAATGACACACAGGATACCGTGAGAACACGCGCCAGTCTGGCAGCCTCCGCACGCGACACGCCCGCGTGCTTCCAATTCCCCAGTGCGAGCGACTGGCCGTTTATTTGCCTGAAGAGGTAGGCGCCTGGGCGGCTCAGCTGGTTAAGGGTCCGACTTGATCTCAGCTCAGGACACGATCTTACGGTTTTTGGGATCGAGCCCCACGTCAGACTCTGCACTGACAGCACGGAGCCTGCTTGGGATTCTGTCTCTTCTCGCTCTGCCCGACCCCTGTCTGCTGTCTATCTCAAAATAAACATTAAAGAAAAAAAGAAGAGAAAACAAACTACTATGGAGTAGACTTCCGCGAGACTGATCTCAAGGAGACTTCTAGGCTTCTATTCTCTTCTGCGTTCACCACCTTCACACCCAGAATTGGGAGGTCACCTGCGATCCCTTCCCCAGCTTGGGCTCTGGAGTCATTATCCTCCCTTCAACGGGCCGGCTCTGGTGGCACTAGGGGCACCTCTGTGCACAGCCCCCACCACTGAACCCGACCGTGGCTGAAAGTCTGTTCTGTTCCTGGGATTCTGGTCACAGGTGCCGGCAGGGAAGGGAAGCCTCAAACAGCCAAGGAGCCTCGACAACCTAAATGTGAACCCAGCCTTGCCCAGATGGTCCTAGGCACCTGGATGTCCCCGCTGGCAACTTCCAAGGTTCCCCAGAACGTTACCGGACATATTCTTTCTTGTTGTCCTCTGTGACGGGAACGTTGCGGCCATTGGGTTTCAGTTCATGCTGAAGAATCCTCCCGAAAGCATTGTGTTCCACACAGAAAGTGTGGTCTAGCACAGGGGTGATATCGTTCTCTCTGTTGAAGTTAAGACACGAGATGGATGTCAGACCTCTGCCAGCATGCAGCAGCGAACAGAACCTTAGACGGAACGTTCCAGGAGAAAGACGGCACTTCCTGTCCGTCACCCCAGAGGTGCAGGAGGGGGAAGAGGAAAACCTAGGGCCCAGAGCACGTGTGAGGGCAGGGGTGCGGGTACTGAAGGGATACCACAGCTCCACTCGGCATGTGCCCAGACTCCGGGCTCCCTCATTCACAGGGAGGTGATGGTAGCTCTCTCGTTCTGAGATTTTATGAGACACGGTGGCCTGACTGCCTTGTAAACTGAGTCTCCGAACAGAAGGATTCACGAAAAGGAAACGGGGTCAAAGGAAAAGCAACCTGCAGAAGACACACCTAGAAAACACTCGCAACCCCTCCTTTAAGGCAGCCATTCCAAATGCATCCATTCAAACAAAGTAGCACTTGGAAGTTCAAGTGGATTCCTCCGCCCCCCGCATTGCTGAGAGGCAAGCAGAGTAAACGATTTTGTACAGGATGGAGGCCCTAACCCCCCCGGACTACCCATTTCCAGCCGGGGCACGTGAAGTGAGGCCGACCGGCGCTTGGGGTGCAGCTGGCTCCAGCTCCCCCTCTCGCTCTCCCCCTGCAGAGCCTGGATCTCTCCCTCCTGTGAAATCGGCTCATTCACAAGGACCCGCAACCCCCGCGGTTACCACGTGACTGTGCCGACAGTTTCCAAGAGAGTTCTAGGATAATTCTAAAACAAAGTCGACTAAATATAGTTTTTCCTGATACTTTCTCTTACTATCAAATACTCTGCCACTAATTTTGTGTTGGGTGCTTTCCCTCTCGAGATTCACTGGAGAGTCCAAAACAAAACCCGCCACCCACCTATCAGGCCTGGGGATTAATTTTGTGGCCAGACCTTAATAATTTGAGGAAGAAATTAGTCTATGAAAGTGAAACTGGCCAAACGTCATGAAGGAAGAAAGTCAACTGAGTGTTTCTTGTTAAATCCATTTTTATGTTTTTGGCTGTAAAACAGCATTTTCTTTACTTCTCTTCCCTGACTTCACACCCATCCCTCGAAAACACTCACATGCACGTACACATGCACACAAAACAATTGTATTTGGTGGACAGTAAGATGGGTGAGGCATTTTCCATGAACTGAACAGTGAGTCGGTACTTACAGAATCCACACTAAGCTCTTATGGAGTTCTGGGTCCACCGACTCCAAATCAGAGAGCTGGATGGGTTTCCCCAGTAGCTGCTTATAGAAGGGAACCGTGAAGCCCCCGTTTATGTAGTGTCCGTGGAATACGGCGAGACCCATGATCCGACCCACAAAATGGAAATAAGACAGATGGTCCTGTAGGGGGCACCAGAGAACACATTTATTAGGAAAATGACCAGCCAGGGTGGATACCTTGTCCTTTCTCCAAGCTTCTTGGGAGACCTGTCCCATGGGCAACCCAACACTGACTCAGTTGCTCACAGGTTGTGCTCACGATCAAAGGAAAGAAGGCTAGTTAGGTAGTCAAAATTCAGAGCATGCGTTTTGTATAGATCGTCTGAACATTTTACATGCCCTTCGTTCAAACATGTCCTCAGAACTGCTACATCTTCTGTGGTACTC